TTTTTTTTTTTAACATTTCCTTTGCTATGATACAAAGGATACTTACAAACAAAATATTACATATGACCTTATTTTTTTTTTCTCTTCTCTTATTTTCTGACAACTTGGTAACAGCTTTAAATGCACAATCTATACAATTAATACAGGTTATATATGAGCTATAATGTATGTTGAACCAGAAGAATACCAGAATACTGACAATATACTGTACATTAAGCCTTACCAGTTAGTGCTCGTGGCATTTTCTACAAGAAGGAAAACGCACACCTGTAGATTCACTCATACCAGCTGGTGCTACCAGACACGGAAGCAAGAAGGAGTTTAATTCCCCTGGTTAAATCCTTCGTGGCCCATCACCGTGGTGCTGAGCCTGGAAACCTCAGACCAGTGTTCATAGTAAAACAGCAGATATGTGTGTGTTTTTTTCTATCTAATGCTCTGTGGCACAGCACGGCGCCGGCCGGGCTTGCCCATACCTGGATGATGCCCCAGAGCAAACGGCCATGGCGCTGGGGCCGGGCGCTGGGCGAGCTCTTGCTGGGGAGCTGGACCTCCTTGGGGAGGGGGAGAAGAGGAGGAGGAGGAGGAGGAGGAGAGGAAAAGCAGCAACAGCTTTGCTGTCATCAGCAGGCAGCTCTGGGGTTTGTGCACATGAGCAGGCGGCGGCCGAGGGGGCAGAGCAAGCCCAAGGCATGGCGCTCCCGGCACGGCAAACCCTGCACGGGGTCGGGCAGCAGCTGCCCTGTGCTCACCTCCTCACCAGGAAAGGTTTGCTTTTGTTTTGCAGCCAAAGCCAGAGGTGTGTGGCTACAGGTGTGCACTTCCCCTCCTCCCGCCGGGGTCTACATCGCACTGATAAGGTTACATTTTTTGTTTTTTATTTAATTTTTTTTTCCTTTTTAAAGCAACCAGCAAGTGAAGCATTTTTTTAGTTGACTGGCAAAAAGACCTGGCATTTGCACAAAAGCTGCAAATGGAAAAGAGCCATCCCCTCCTCCCACCCGCTGCATCCCAGCCCAGAAAAATCCCAAACTGTTGGCGGAAGAAAGAAAAAAAAAAACACAACAGGGGTGGAGGAGAGGAAGGGGAGGGGGAACAGGTTGGAAAATACCAGGTTTGAGTTAACATTTCCTTGACTTCACACAATTCTTGTGCAAAAAGAAACAACCCCCCCTCCCCAAAACAAACAAAAACCCAAACCCAGAAACATGCTGGAAATAATGAAAACAAATGGAAAGTAATATATAAAATTAAAAATATAAATAGGATGTCTGGCTGACTGGTAGAAGAATAGGTCATTTAGGTTACAAAAAGGAATATACATTCAAGAGGCTCTGAACCCAGTGGGGTAACTGATGTTAAACTTGTGTTAATAGTTAGGCTAGAATTCTCAAGTTTGTCTTTAAAATCTTCACAACACAAGCAAGCTATTTTTAAAAAATATACACTATACACACCTCACACAGCTTCTCCTATCCGTATTACACACGTTACGCTACCCTCCCATCCACTACACCGAGGGGGGGGNCCATCTTCCGTGGCCGCGACTGGTTTGAGGCCAGGATGCCCTGGCTTTACGAGTGGCCGCTGCTCCTCCACCTCAAGCAGGGATTGAGCAGGTCAGTGCAGTCCCTTGGGCCTGGGGAGGTGGATGGGGGTAACCCGGGAACCCCGCGGTCATCCCTGGGGGTGTGCATGGGGTGGGTGCTGCTGAAACAAGGAGCCCCAGTGCAGGGCAGAGGTGCTGAGGACAGCAAAATGTGCTGGTTAATGAACACCAGCCTGGAGCCGGCTGCCATGGGGCCAGCTGGGCCACCACGTGTGTCCCCAGCCTGGCTGGGGCTGCGGCAGCGTCTTGGGGCTCCTGAGCAGGGAGATCTGGGGCAGGGTCTCACAGTTTCTCCTGGGAGGAGTTGGTGAAGCCCCTGTTTGGTTTTGGACCCTGAGGGGTGAGTGGGGCTGGCCCCTCTCCCTGCACTGCCCCTTGTCCCCAGCACCTGACCCTCCCGTTGGCCCTGGGGGGGGACTGTGATGCCAGCCCAGGGCTGGGCTGGGGGCTGTGACTGCTGCTGTCCCTTCCCAAGGGCTCTGGGTTCCCTATTGCCCAACACAGACAGGCTCGAGTGGACCAAGCACTGGCTGAGACAGGAGACAAACTGCCCTGGGCCAAGGACTTGAGCAAGTGGGCACTTCCCTGGGGGCTGCTGAGAGCTTGTGGGGGCAAAGGGGCTCTGCAGGTGGCCAGATGGGAGCCAAAATAATGCGGGTAAACCCCAAAACATAGGGGCAAACAAGTGACAGGTGAAGCTGCAGCAAATCTCAGATGGGTGCAGCAAGGAACAGTGTGTACTGCAGGGATGGGGTGCTGGGGGTGGGCAGCAGGGAATCTCCCCCCTCCCTGTTTCCCGGTTCCCACTGCAAATGCTGCTGTCACGGTAACGAAGCAGGAGCGCCGGCCGTCTCCCGTTGTCATGGCACCCGGGCTGTGCTGTGGGGACCCTCCAGGATCCCTGCAAGGGGCTGGGATGGGCCTCCTAAGCCACTCTGGGGCTGGGGCAGTCGAGGTCACCCCTATTCCTCTGCGTGCAGGGCCAGGACTGTTGAGCGGCCCATGGGCACACACGCTGGTGGCACCCCCATGGCAGCATCCCTGTAGCCCCCAGCTCCAAGTGCACCCCTATGACCCTCCACCCCCACAGCAGCACACCCCAGCCGCTG